ACAAGAGTGTCCCACAAGAGTGTCCTACAAGAGTGTCCTACAAGAGTGGCCCGCAACAGTGTCCCACAAGAGTGGCCTGCAAGTGACCCACAAGAGTGTCCTACAAGAGTGTCTCACAGGAGTGTCTCACAAGAGTGTCCGACAAGAGTGGCCCATAAGAGTGACCCACAAGAGTGTCCCACAAGAGTTTCTCACAAGAGTGCGCCACAGGAATGTCCGACAAGAGTGGCCCATAAGAGTGACCCACAAGAGTGTCCTACAAGAGTGCCCCGTAAGAGTGACCCACAAGATTGTCACAAGAGTGTCCTACAAGAGTGCCCCGCAAGAGTGGCCTACAAGAGTGTCCCACAAGAGAGTCCCGAAACAGTGCCCCACAAGAGCTTCCTACAAGAGTGACCCACAAGAGCGTCCTACGAGAGTGTTTTACAAGAGTGGCCTACAAGAGTGTCCCACAAGAGTGTCCCACAAGAGTGTCCTGTAAGAGTGTTCCACAAGAGTGTCCCACAAGAGTGTCCCACAAGAGTGACCCACAAGAGTTTCCGACAAGCCACAAGAGTGTCCCACAAGAGTGCCCAAGAGGAGTGTCCCACAAGAGTGTCCTACAAGAGTGTATGTAGCTTTTCGAACGTGTTTGCATTCGGGTTCGTGGGCTCCATCTTGTTTTTTATGCTTTGAAGCTCCCGCCCACCACTTAATTAGCAACGAAACTGGCCCATAACCTATTTAGCAACGCTGCCGCCTCTACCGGCCATGGACAGGATTACTTTGGTGAGTCCGAGCCAGAAGATGAAAAGTGGCATCGCACTGGAGAAGCAACGTCTTTTTAAGTATTTTACGTTCTCAAAGGCTGTTGCGCCACCTCTGGCTATTGAATTTTTGGGCTTGGATTCTGATGAGATCCATAAACGCCATGACGTTTGCTTTTCCAATGGCGGAAAATGCCCCTTCGCCGAGTTCCGAAAAGGAGCCTCCAAAGAGAACAAAATGAGATACACGTGTTTGTAGTGCAGCATGGGTGCGGCGCGGTGTTGGGGTAGGGAGGCTGGGCTGTGGTGCTGTGTGCAGCCAAGGGGTGGGCAAAGTTGCGATGTAGATAGCGGTATGGATTATTGCGTGAAATGATTTTATAACTTAATTGGTGAATGTTTGTTCAATAATAGACACGTTATTTTAGCCTTAATTATGATTGTTTATTCATACGGGGATCGAGTTATTCGAACTCTTGTTTTGAATTTTGGCATTTTCGTTGTTATTTTCTACTTTAATGATTTAAATTATCTATCTTGGAATCTGTTTTTTGATTTTGTTTTTTTAAGGTTGGTTGAATTGAAAGAACTTATTCTTAATTCGGGAAATACGGATATAAATATGTTTTTTGTTTTTAATATGCTATATTCGGTATTGAATTATTATTGATGTTTTGTTTAATTATTAGAATGTTATCATGGCTTTTATATTATCGAAGGTCGATACGAAAATTGATGAATGAAATGATTAAATCAGATTTTTGTTATATTAAGAAGTTTTTAAATATAGATGTAAAATATTTAAGAGTTCTGTTGAGGTTATTGAATAAATAGATTTGTTTGGATGTATTTCTAGATGGTATGATATTTATCGAGTTTGATTGATTGAATTTGATACATTGAAAGTAATGCCGAATATAAAAATTTTTGGCGTCGGTTATTTTCTGGAAATTGTTTGTTTTGTTTTATGGATTCTTGAATAATATTGGACGGGGGATAAATTATCTTTTTTTTACATTGGACGACGAATGGAATTTATTTTTTTCTTTATTTAAAACGGCTCCTTTAAACGATAGGTATTTAGATGTTTATTAGCAAGGTTTTTATTGGTATCGTTTTAAAAGGTTTTTATTGGTATTAGTGTAAATAGATTCTAGTTTAATTTTATGGTATTTTTTAATAATATATTAAAGTTTAAGGTAAAACGAATATTAATTGTTTAAATATATCGATATATAATCGATTGATTTCTTGTTAATTTAGAATATGATTTATTTTGAGTTTTGTTTTTTGATTTGTATTTATATTTTATTTTGTTATTGGCAGTTTGAATGTAAAATGTTTTGTTTTCTTGATAATTTGAATGAATAGATTTTTGGATTGAATGAAGATATATAATTGATCAATGAGGGAATGTTTATTTACAATTTAACACGATTGAAGCCTAATGTTTGGACGAATAATTAAATGTATTGTTTGGAGGAATTTGTTAAATATGGCGGCGGAAAGAAATTCTTATTATGTGTTATTTGTAATAGAAAAAAACGCACTAAATTTTTTGAAATAGTTTTATAGGAAATGTAAGAGGTTTCGTTTGCGGATTGCTTATGTGTGGTGTGCGTTTTGGAATCGGCGTGATTGTAGTTCGTGGTTTTGGTCGGGGTAGTGATGTGTTGATGTTGTAGTGGTAATGGAGTAAGGATTTTATTTAATTATGTTTTCTATCCCGAATTTCTAAGGCTTGAATCTTGAATTGAATAGATATTTTTTATTTATTGCATTAAATAAAGTTCTTGTATGTATAATTATATAGCAATAGGAAAGCAATAGGTAGAATTCTTTGCAAAATACATCTATTTTTATTCATAAATTTGTTCATCGGAATGATATTCGAATTGAGCGTGAGTGAGTGATAGTGTAAGTGAAAGAGTTCGAGCAAGGAGCGAGTGTGAGTGAAAGGATGAGCTTGAAAGAGTAAAATAATAGTGAATGGGGGGGTAAATGAATGAATGAGGAAAGAAAATAGGTTTAAAGGATTGAAATATTTTGAAAAAATTAAAATTTGTGTTAGAGTATTTATATTGAAAAAGAGGTTTTAAAATTTTATGGTTGTTATGAAATTTATATATATTAAATATTATATAAAATAAGTTTTTTATATTTGGAAATTATGATAAATTTATTTATATAAATTATAAAGATTAAATTTGGATTTTAATTTATATAAATTATTATTTTGATATGAAGTCTATATTTCGATATTTATTAAATTTGTTATATTTCGATAATTATTATTAAATTAAAAATTCGATATATTATTATGATATATAGATTTTGAAAGATAATAATTTTAATCGTATCGTATATATTAAATAAAAATATAATTAAAATATATAAAAATACTAATTAATTATTAAATTTATTAAAAAAAGGTAATTTCTTAAACAATAAATACGCGAATATACGACTTTTTGTTCGCGTTTTTAATCGGCATTATTTATGGCTCGAAGAAAAGACGTCGAAATGTTTTTGCTTATTTGATATTTCTTTTATTATTTTGTTTTTTATATTTAGATTTTTATAATTTTATATTTATATCGATTTTTATATTTTTTTTTATTTCTTTTTTTAATTTTTTTTTTGTAATTAAATTAAATTTATAAAATATTTAAAAATATTTATTGGTTTAGAATATTCGTATTTGGATGAGGATTTTAAGGCTTCTTATGATGGAATGATTTAATTAGGATTATTTATATAAATTATGGTTAAATTTATTTATTTTTTCTATAATTTAATTATTATAAATTGTTATTTGATATTAAATATTATTGATGTAAAAACGGAATTAAATAGATATGAATAAATAATTAAATGGGACGTAAAAAGAATTTTTTATATTATTTTATCCATAATGATATATAAACGATAGATAAATGATATTTTTATTATTTTGATATGGAAAAGGATGAAAATAAATTAAAAATTCGATAATAAAATTTACGAATTATTAGGAATTTAATTAAAGTATCGTCTTTGCTATAATATATTTTATTTAAATGCTTAAATTAATAAACTGTTTTTTATTTATCTTTTAATATAAAAATATAATTTTTCTATTAGAATCTATAAAAATATTTAATTAAAGCATTTGATTCCTCTATTCTATAATAAATTAATAATCGATATTTAGCATCGATTAATCGAAGAGTATATAATTACTTAAATTCTTCATATTTGTTTCTTAATAGTTGTTCTTCCGTATAATTCTTACATTTGTTTCCCAGCCCTTTATATTTATTTCTTAATTTTGGATTGTGGTGTCCGCCTCTGCGTTGTAATCCTCACATTTATCTCCTAATTTTGGATTACTTTTATATTCGCTTGTAGTGTTTAGATATTTTTAGGTATTTCGTTGTATTTTTTCCGAATGGATTGAATTAATTCAAATTTTAATAGATTTAAATAGGATCTTTTGATTTAAAACCCATGTTATTATAATAATTTATTTAGTTGAGTTATATAAACAACCAAAGTATTATTATTATTAATAAAATTTTAATATAATATATATATATATTCTATAAATATATTTATATATGCATCGAGTCCAATATGGAAATGAATATTTTATTTTATTTTTAATATAATTAGGTAATTTATACGATAAATATTACTTTTAACAAAAAAAAATATATATATGTTTAAATTTGAATAAAATAAAGAGTATTTCTGAAAAAAACGTAATAATTTATAATGCTTCCTAAGTTTAAATTTTTTGTCCCATAACCCAAAATCCCTCTTCGTTCGCTCAATCTCCATCATGTCTGATCAGAATCTAATGGGTTGCTTTGGATTCAATCCTTTGTGGTATTCATTTAATTCCAAAAAGGAAATTTCAATTTGCCTGCCCCTTGAAAACCTTAATATTTTTTTTCAATTTCAAGATTTCAATATCGATTGTATGTTTCTTTCAATTTTTCCCCACATCTCAATGTGGGGTTCTGTATTTCATCCCGCTTCGCCTCTCCCGTTTCTCCCGCTCCTCCCGCTTCTCTTTCCGAGACAACACACACAGAGACAACACACACCGAGACCACACACACAGAGATCACACACACCAAGACAACACCCACAGGGATAAATGGCAATGGATCTTGCTCCGTTAGAGGGTCTGGAGCGGCTCTGGTCGGCTGTGCTCGGCTGTGGTCGGCTGCCGCGCTCTTCTGTTGTGCTGCAACGCTGTCTGATTGTAAATTGCAGGACGGTCTGGTGGTTGCCTGGTCGGCTGTGGTAGGCTGTGGTCGGCTGCGGCGCTGTCCTGTTGCAAATTGTAATAGATCTCGCTCCGTTAGAGGGTGGTTGCGTGGTGGGCTGTGGTCGGCTGCGGCGCTGTCTTATTGTAAATTGCATTGGCTGCACATTTCCGGAATTGTGCTTGCGGGGCTAGCTGGTTACTGATGCCCCTATTTGCATTGGAGAGCAACATGCCTCAAAGACTTTGACAGCGAATTGCCTGCACCCAGGGGCCATTACAGTACGAAGCAGGTACAGATACGAAAACGCTCCATGTCTGGCAAGCCTGCAGTTGTCCACGATGCGGGTTTCCTGCTTCAACCTGACCATGTCGGACTTCTGTGCGGAAAAAAAATTTGAGGCAGTATTCTATCAGTAGTGCCGGACGGAACTCGAAGCCTTTAGCTTTGACCATGAGGTGCCCTTTGTGTGATGCGTCCACAAAACACTGCCTGGCAACTACGTTGAAGCACTCATTGTCACGCAGAGTGTTCCAAATGGCGCCCGCCAAAACATGGCAGGTGTCTTTATCAAACAATTGCAGCTCCCAGCCAACAGATGCTGGTGTCGCCCACATGGGTAAACAGCAGCACTGCATTTTCAAACTCCTGAAGCCTGTCATATTCTTGCAGGTCGATTGCAAGCTGGATTTCTCTCCAGCATGGCTGGAAAACATGAGGTGTCATACCAAGCACCTTTCCTGATTGCGACCTGAATTCAGCTTGAGCCTAGAAGGCCGGGCAGCCTGCATAAGTAGTGAGCTGCATACGGACTCCCATCTGTGC